AGTCGTCGTGGCCTAAAGGATAAGACGTCCGGTGCATTCGTGTTGAAGCGATGCACCGGTGTTCGAATCCCGCAGGCGGGTACCAATTTTTCTAATGAAATATGTACTCAACAAATGTTCACGATTGACTTCCACGGTGAAGGAATAACATCGTGTAATAAAAATCAAACCCGCAAAATTATAATTTGCGTAATTACTGGTGGTAGGACCTCTTGTGAGTCCGCGCGGATAGGTACCACCGCCCTGCTTATTTCTGCCGTGAAGCAGTAATGCGTTTCGGTTGGAAGGGTGGGGTAGCCGTTGTAACTATACTGAGACTTTAGAACTTGTATCTCAAGGTGGGTGGCGCGTCTACGTTGTAGATGTCTATGGGCTCCAGTAACCACTTAACATCAGGTGGGCTGTGAGCTCGTCCACCCATCTAAGCAATAAAAAAAAAAAAAAATGTCGTCTCATTTTAATAAATTTATCAGGAAGAGTCGCATATGTATATAATGGTAGGTGTTTTTAGCATTTCGAGGAATACCAAAATGCAGCTCATCACCTCCCTCGTCTTCTCCATTTTTCTCTACGGCGCAGAGACTTGGACCCTCAAGAAAGCCGACCGCCAACGCATCGACGCGTTTGAAATGTGGTGCTATAGGAAAATGCTCGAGACTCGTTGGACAAAACACAGAACCAACGAATCCATTCTTACTCAAGATTCCAATGCGCCTCATTACTATATGCGCGCGGAGGAGTTTCGAATTCTTTGAGCATATCGCCAAAGAGAGAGGTGAAAATCTGCTCGAAAAGCTGCTGGTAACAAGCAAGGTATGCGGAAGAAGACCCAGAGGCAGAAGTCCAATGGGCTGGTCGGACCAGATACGCTCCACTCTCAATACTTCAGTCCACGTTGCTATCCACACAGCCGAGGATAGGCAGGAATGGCGCAGGATAATACAGGAGAAAGTTTTTAGAGGAGGCTACGACCCTCAGCACTGAGGATTATCGACGCAAGAAGGAGGAGGTGTTTTTATTTAACTGATTTGAATTGATGACTTACCCTGGTTTGATAAGAAGACTGTGCACAGTCCGAAAGAAGTTACAGAAGGAGATACGTACTTGTGTTTCTGTCCCTCGTGTCGCTGGTGCGCGGCGCGGGCGAGCTTGTCGAGTGCCCTCGCGTACTCGTGTTCCAGGTCGGCGCGTCTCCGGCAGTACTCGTGGAGTTCCCCAGCCACGCCCGCCGTCGCCTCCGCGCGAGCCTCTAGCACGCGAGTGTGCTCCACTAGTTGTGACTTTATATCTGTAATCATAAAGAAAAAATCATAAACATTGTAATCTAACAGCTTTTTTATTATTTTTTGTCAGGAGGAAATCACCGGACTTCCGCCCTGCACTGGGGATGGAGGGCGGGGCATGTCGGAGTTGAACCGACTAAAAGCTCTTGTCGCTTGACAACCAGCATCCAAACCTCGCATGAGACAGAACTCATGAAAAGGCAAAGGGGGGAGAGTGAAGCGTTTAGTGCGGAGCACATCTCTCCCATCACCCTCCCCCTCGGGACGCCGGACCGACGGTCGTCGGCGCCACGACCACCAGCCCTCTCGGTCGGCAAATCTAACAGCTAAGAAATTACAACTGAACATTTGCACCTACTTCACCGTACGCAGATAGAAATCCCTACCGATTACCTAATGTAAATTACCAAGATACATAAGGGCAGTACTGTACGTATGTGACGACCCATAAAAACCATAGCTGATTAAGGCGGACTGAATAAGACACACACGTGCGAGATAGTATTTCCCGTATACAAGAACGTTAGCTTATCGTCAAATATATTGTAGTAAGGTAGCACAAGTCAAGATTGTCGTTAGCGTGTTGTGAACCGTCTGCAGCGCGTCGTTGCAGGCGACGGGACGCGACGCGCTTCGGCTGTGACTCACGTACCTACTTTATTTATTTTGCACTGTATTATGTTCATTAATTAATATTAATACTCTAACATAATCGCTTAGCGCGATAAAACATGTTATTTATTATTAGAATTTAATTATTTTGTAAATGTTTGTAATCGTACATTTGAATTAGGTCAATCAGAATTGAATTTTCATATGATGATTAAGGAATTACGTGTTTAAATTTTATTGAAATTTACAAATATCAATAAATTGACCATCGATATTTACATACGTTGGTCATTTACACTAGGAACACTTTTTAACTACCCAGTAACAAGTGTACTTCTAGTTTTAAGGTGTTTATCTTATCACGAGCTTTCACCTATGAAATATTCTGAAAAAATATACTTAGTTATATGATACTGTCACACGTGCACATGATGTCGGTGAATAATGCCTGGAGCTCAGCCAACCAGATGACTACTGCTGAAGAGTCTTTACAAACCGCGTTAAATGAGACAGGGCTCTTAGCGTTTCAGAAACAACGTGGACAATACGACGGTGTGTGGACAAAAATTGTATTCTCTTGAACAGTATTGTATACGGATGCAGCGATTCCAAGAACCATGGATATATTATCGATCGGTTCCTGAGAGGATCCGATCTTCAGCTTTATCATAGCCCATACATACAATAATAATGTTCAGAAATATTATTCTTAAATAATACTAGTAACGCAAGATCACGGTAGATGTACGTAATATACATGTACTCCAGCGTACATACAATAAAAATCAAACAGAAGCATTCCGTTTTATTTACAGTTATCAAAAGAATTTATAGAATTTACAAAATAACAATAAAAATAATTTAAGCCGTTGGTTCAAACGAAAAAAATTAATCTAATAGTATCATTAATCAATTTGCGAAGTAGCCGGTGAGTCCGAAACAAGCGAGGTCTGAAAAGAATGATCGCGGGTCCGGCGGGTATGAGACCACCAAAGTCAAGACACTGTATATTATTACATTTTAGCCGTTGTAACTATAGGTACTGAGACCTTAAAACTCGTATCTCAAGGTGGCTGGTGAAATTTACGTTGTAGATGTCTATGGGCTCCGGCAACCACTTAACACAGGTAGGCTGTGAGCTCGTGCATCCCTCTAAGCAATAAAAAGAAGAGCAGTTACGATGATTAGGTAGTATCGCACTGAATCACGACGGTCTAAACATGTTCTTTGTCTCGGTCAATCGTGAACAAATTAAAGTTTAAGTTCAGATAGCGGAAGTTGAACGCACGAGATCGCAGGCAGGTCCCCGGCGGCTCTGCACCCCCGACTCGACCACACCGGACCGACGCCGCGACGACGACGACCACTGATCATTTATAATACGATAATAACTCCCGGGAGTTTCGTTTTGTTTTGACGCTCTCGACGAACCAACGAACGGGTCATTGCATGCGACATGTGTGAGAACGAAATCGATATAAAAGCGTGATTCGTCATCGCAGTCATAGGGGAAAGTGGATTTCAATGTCGAAGGATGAAAGGTTGGGGGAGCGCCGGCCGGAGGGGACCAACTAATGACTGTGTTCTACACTTTATGTTTATAGTGTGTTGTGAGCGAAATGTCTGAATGCTCAATATGGATAATGATCTCCGGGGCGCGGTGTAGTGCACGACGCACACAGGCCTGCGCGCCGCCCTCTGCACCGTTGCACCGCGCTCGACTGCGGAGACCGACCACACGGTCCACACGGCGCCGCGACACTACCACAACAACAACAACAACATTCTACGCGCGCGGTACCCGCGACGAGCTTCAACACAGACGCATCTTTATTTACTCGCGTGTCCGTGCCTATAATTAGATATTGGCATTTTGCGTCGAGTTTTTTTGTCGACATTAATAGATCATAACGGTAGTCCCGCGTCACGTGACGCGTCAGTCGGATGGAGCGATGGCAGACGGCGTGCTTGTTTGTTTGTTTGACGACACAAAGTCGTGGTGAGTGTTCACGTACCGGGGAAGGCATTGGCGAAGTCTGGCGGTCCCCAGTCATGCCGCGGCTGCACGATGCAGTGGAACATGGCGGAGCGGCGGCGCTCGACTGAGGTCGCGCAGCCTCCGCGCGGGATTCGCCCTCCGCGCCCCTCCCGCATGCTGCACCCTCACTGCTCACGATACATCAACTCCACCCGATCATTACGGCACTACCCGGTATTGACACGTGAACCTTACCCTGTTCAATAGCCTAGGGCCTACGCAACACGGAACGTGGTTTCCTCGACCGTGGCTGAAGTCAATGCAAACCACTGTATGTAATGTAACTGTGTAATTCATATGTTACTTCGCGTTTACTAAAAGGACTATTAGAAACAGTTAGACCGACCCAGAAGTGGTTAAGCTCGAGTTTTTTTAGTTTTTTTATTGCTTTGATGGGTGGACAAGCCCACCTGGTGTTAAGTGGTCACTGGAGCCCGTAGACATCTACAACGTAAATGCTGCGCCACCCACCTTGAGATATAAGTTCTAAGGTCTCAGTATAGTTACAACGGCTGAAATGAAAATCAAAAAATTCAAGTTGATATGTTTCGTCTTTCTAAATGAAGAACATGGATTCACTCAATTTCTAGTCGTGAATAATTTAGCAAATAATAGAGAGAGCAGCATTTTATAGAGTAAACTTAACATTTAGTTATATAGTATACTACGACTGTTTTCATATAAAAATATATTTCAACAGCCATTAAACCAAGTAGGGACAATACAAATCGAATTTCAATTATTACCAAATTATTGGTTCAAGATTTACTTAAACGCCTTGACAGCACCAAATAAGTGCAGCAGAACTTTTGATTCAATGAATTTCTTAAGGAAATCGAAAGAATGTTCGTCTGTAGTTATACTCGTACATAGGGGCAGCCGAAGAGCAGGGGTGTGAGGCGGGGTCGGGGTGCGGGGTGAGTCGGAACCGGTCGCCCCGTGTATTAGGCCTCGTTAAAATGTGATCGAGAAGTAGGTACATAAGTTCGATCGGCACACAGCAGCTGTTCGACGGGACAATAAGCCGGTAAAAACTGGCGAAATTTACCGAATTATTCATGATTTGACTTAAAGAAAAAACGCGCCCTTGTTTATTATGAGAGGATTACAGACTTGTGCTGCGCGCAGCCGCGGCAGGTATTGTCCACAAATTCGTTTGTAAACATCGGAGCACTTTACAATGTTTGTATTTTTCATTTCCCGTAAAAAAACAAGTTTGTGAATTTTTTGTTTGGAATTCCGCCATTGCATGCGCGGTATATCAACAAATAGAAAAATTCAGGCCCCGCTTGGTCTTAACTATAAACGGATACATAATATACTAACTTACTATCTGGTGAGACCATAGTCCAATATTACATATTCGAAGCAATCACTAATGATTGCGCATATTTTTATTATCTACACAATATTTCTGTCCTAAGGTACATAGTTTGTACTTGATCCCGGATCAACCCTCGACACGAGGCCATCACGCCTCTATTCCTCGGGGTAATCACTATTCACCATTAGCATATGAAGTCCGTAAATTACCTACAGCAGTTTTTTTCGTTCTCGCACTTCAACCGTCTTTCATTCAAATAATGTGCTTAAAGCAACGTCCCGAAAAGTCTCGGCCTTTGTGTCGAGGTCGCCATAGACCGTAGCCATACGCCGACCACAATGGATAACCATAAAAGTGAACTTGGGCTTACATTCCGAAACCCATAGATAGCTGTGTCTTCGAATTTCATTATGTTCTGAATAGCTCGTGGAGGATTTATTTATAGATATCTTTATGGGTTCACAAATGAATTATCTGACGCTATTCGTGCATAAGGACAGAGGGAGGACGGGTGAAATACTATTTGTAGCCCAACAACTGACGTGTACCTTATGATGTGTTTACTAACATTTGGAGTACTAACAAACAAACTCAGGGCAAGAGTGTGCCACTATGAGTGGGCCACAACGTGACAAAACCACTAGTCCCGAATTACGCAAGTTCCGAGGCGTACTTGGAGGTATTTATCTACAAAATTCTTAAAGAGTAGGCAAATAAAAACCAGAAACTCTTTTGAACACAACAATATGTTGTTGTTGAAATATTGTTTACTTGTGTTCCTTCACAAATGATTGTAATAGTATTAAATTAATGTTCGACACAAAATAATTTATTAATTCAATAAGTGCAATTTGTTGATATTTGAGATGAGATTTACACAGTATTACTCCAGTGAATTAACAAAAATACAGCAGGTCATTACGCCATTCTGGACTTGCTCTAACCTTTCAACATTCACATTATGTAGGTAGCATATGTAAGTAATTTAGTTAATATTGAAGTATTTTCTTAATAAATGTTTGCTTGTACAGTGCATTGCCAATTCGGATGGTTAAGGTTATGTATTATTTCAAGAACTGACCACCTGCAAACTAATTTCGTGTTCTGACGATGCGACTCGGCTCGGCGCTCTGATATTGTGCAACGGTATATTATAACTGCTCTTACTTATAATAACATGTGAAAACGATGCTGAAAATTCACAACAGATCTTTAATTAATTGAGAGAGGCGTACCTACGGTCGAATACCCAATGTATAATTGAGGCCATCAGCGCAAAAGTGGCCTAGCCCACATTTTTTTATATTCAAGCTTATATTATGACGTATATTGGAATTTATTTAAAATATAATATATTTTGATGCAAAATCGGCCTACTCATAGTTTCACCCATAGATAACAGATAGTTTGGTAAACATTATTTTTGCGCGTACTGTTTTTTTGCCTACTCAAATTCAAATTCATGAAAATTCAATTGCCTCCATACTAACTATTGTAAGCTGGGGCCACTTTTGCGCTGATGACCTCAATTAACAAGCGCGTGGATTTACCACGCTACTTCAGACTTCGACGCAAGGTGTCGCACCAAGCGTATTATTCACTGTTCACGTGTAGCGATTCGAACGCACACATGTAATTGAAGCTGTCAACACGGCGCATGAGATCAAAGAGTTAGCTCCGGACAAACGCATGAGCTGAACCATATAAGTAATCCGAACTCGGTCTGGAAACCGTGATTATCTCCGGGAACGTGTGCACCTCCTCGTGTCTTCAAATTTGATTTTTTTATGTACCGAATTACTATACACCAGTCTGTACCTGTCCGGTCTCAACGTGCTCTCTAGACAGACGCCTTTGTTAATGGCAACATGTATAGCATATTAATCTAAGGGCTGAACTTTTTATTATTATGCGCTCAAGCTTGGCTAGTTATAAGGCCGTTTAGACATGAGCATAAAAACAGTTTTTGGATAACCCTGTGGCGTGAGCTGTCAACAGGAAAATTATAAGGCAATATTTAACAGAGTTCCATTTGGCGAGCTGTTTACATTAAAATTCGTATCGTTACCAATAGTCACACCAACAATGGAAAACTCAAATCTAAAAAGTGATCGTGTATAGTAACGATATTAAAGCCCTTAATATTTCTTACTCAATTACTGGATCTGAAAGATGTCGTACGCGACACCATGGTATTGGAGGTAAAGTGAACTCAAACAAAAAAGTCTGGGAGTCTGCTTTCATTGTCGAACCACCCGGTGTACTCATGAACTATTATACCGTGAGGCGGTTGATCTTTTTTGAACTAACTCTAAAGAATGTAGTTGTTATATTGTACGCAAGAACGCCTGCCGCGTTATTCCTTATAACATCATATAATAAAATCAAACTATCAAAACTAGTCAAAATCGCGAATCTCGACTACTGCGGGGCCTTTGACTATAATTAATTGAAATTATAAGTTTAAGCATTATTATGGTTCTATTGTCAAACACTATTATATTTCGATAATATCACAGTATTCGCCAAAACTGCACTAAAGATCAATCATATTAATGACAAACAATATTAATCTATTTTCAATTCGACCACAGACTTTAAACAATAACAAAAGTTTCCCAATTGACAGTAAACAAAGTATATTTTTATGTATGTGTTGTGTCAAATACATGGTATGTTTTCTTTATTGATTTAATGTCTTTAATTGTGCACTTCTTCTCTATACTTTCTGTAAGTGTGGAAAATTTCATATTCCTCCGTTCGCGCAGTTTTCGAAAAAAAGAGCATAGATAAACCACTACTGAGTTCTATACCATATACTATCGGACAAGTGGCAGTAATGATATCTGGAGTCGCACTGTGAATGAACGCAGGGGTTCTAGGAAGTTGGGACGAGCCCCCAGCAGCGGATGGTGCAATATTAAAAGAACGGACTAAGGGATTAAGTGCAGTTAATTTTACATACCCTAATCCCTAACCTAACTAAAACCCAATCACAAATAGTTAATCTTTCTAAAACATTTACGGTTCCGGTCTATGGAAAAGTGATGTATAAGAAATACGAGTATACGACTCACCTGATGATAGGTAATCATCTGTAAATAACTCTTAAAAAATTAAGCATACCTCTATACGTTTAAATATATACAAATATAGATAGTAAACACTCAGAAAAAGAGCCAATAGACCGGTTCATCACACGAATTCTTGCCCCATGTGGGAATCGAACCCACGACCCTCGGCGCGGCGGAACAGTCAGGGGCTCTAGCTACTGGATCACCGATTCAGTCTAGGAGGAATAAGTACATGTCTAAAATTAATTATTTTATTTAAAAAATCGGTAAATGAGGGTAAGTATGAAATAATCTTAAAAAACATATACCAGGCTAAAATCATCTTATAAAACTTCCAAAATACGATACTATAAACTGGCTTGGTACGTTAAAACGAGTTCACAGGAAACAAAGTATATAAATTAAATAAAAAAATCATTACAAATATAAATAAAGCAAACTCTGGTAATAGCTAAGGCTAAGCGAACCTATAAAAATGCCACCAAAATGAATGTGCCTATAAAATACTAATAAACGAAAAGCCAATCACATCTATCTACATATCAGTACTAATGGTTCTCTTTGATTTAATCGAAGTTCACCGAATAACCGCAGTTATAGATACCCTACTCGCTTCCGTTCGGCGGCGAGTCGGCGCTATCAACGCTTCTTTGAACCCAATCTCTTCCCGGAATCTTCCCACTTCAATACATAATTTTCTCGATCACATGTGTATACA